GGGGGGTGGGTTGGGGGGGGGGGGCGGGAAGGTTTGTAAGGTGGAAATGAGAATTCTCAGGTGATAGACCCTTGCTGGCAGAGAGGGGGAATGGAGTGGGAGCTTGAGGATTTGAAATGACACTGAGAAGAAGGGACAGGGAGTGCAGGGAAACTGGACTGTTGGGCAGGATGGGAGCCCAGCTGAGGGTGGGGATCATAGATTTGCAGTAGTCCCAACCCACCCCAAAGCAAGATGGCTGTAGGGTTTTTCCAAACAAGGCAGATGGGCAAACCCTGGGGCTGGACCATGAGGTGGACTGGGGAGGTAGGGAGGAGGAGATGGGAGGGGCCAATGCATTGGGGGCAGGAGGAGGAAAGGAAGGATCTGAAGCCCCTGGCCATAGTCCATTCCTGCTGCCATAACAAAATGCCCTAGACTGGGTAATTTATAAACAACAGAAATTGATTGCTCACAGTTCTAGAGACTGGGAAGTCCAAGATCAATGTGCTGGTAGATTCGGCATCTGGCGAGAGCCCTTTCCTCATAGATGGTGCTTCTTAGCCATGTTCTCATGTGGCAGAAGGGGTGAACACTCCCTCAGGCCTCTTTTATAAGGGTGCTAATTCCGTTCTTGAGCGTGGAGCCCTCATGACCTGATCACCTTCCAGAGGTCCCATCGCTTAATAGCATGGCATTAGTGATTCGGTTTCAACATATCAATTTCAGAGATCACAAACGTTCAGACCATAGCACCTCCATGACCAATAGGACAGGTAGAGGCTCTGGAATGACCCTGGGATAGGCGAGGTAGAGGACACTGCTTTGCTTTAGAAAGAGAATACCCGTTCTCGTTGCCAGACGCTACCATGCAAGGAGCGGACTCTTGTATCTCTCCAAGATTCTTCCAGGGGACGTTGGGCCCTTCTCATAGCAGCGCCACTGGCCTGGAAATGGCCCCGGCTAGAAGCTGTGACTGGAGACTGGTGGAGGCTTTGGAACCGGGCTGGAGCTCGGGACTGGAGGGTTCAATGCCCCCACACGCTGCCACGACTCTAGGTAAGTTCATTCCTTGCTGGGCCCCTGCCCCTCCCCTCCCAGTGGAGGTAGTATGCACAGGCCTAGTCCCCCTCCCTAACCCTGGGAAGAGGCTGAAGAGAGACCCAAAGGTGTCCATAGGAAAGCAGACCTTCTTGGTGGTGGGAGGATGAATGAGGGGGAGGCTCTTTCGTCTCCAGTCCCATCTTCCAACCCCTGGAGCTCTTCCTGCGTGTCAGGCTCCACTCAGAGAAAAGCCTCAAGCGCTTTCATTCTCTCAAGGAAGCCTTGTGGACCCTCCCAGATAGGTGGTGTTATCCTGGTGAGGACCTGAGGCTTAGGGAAAGGGACCTTGAGGTCGGTGGCAGATAGCCAGCTAGAACCCACTTCTGGTGCCTCCAGGCTCCTCACCTTTTCGTCCCTCTCCCAAGATAGGCTGGAGACTCCTTTCCACCCCAGCAGGGTCCTAGGACCCCCGTCTCTGCCCCAGGGGAGGCTTATCCCCTGCTTTGGAGCTGGGACCTGGCACCGTCAAGGATGTAGTTCTACACTCAGTGTGAGTGGGCTTTGCTCTTTCAAAGGGCCGGAGCGGTGCTGGTGCTGGCGACCGAGGCGAGGACCATGACGCGCGGGGGACGCCAGGCGCGGACTGCCGCGGGATGGCGCGCCCAGGTCAGGGGGATCCCGCTCCCGCCCCTGGCCGGGTTTCCCTCTCCTGCCCCCGCGTCGCCTTGCCGGTCTGCGAAGCTCCCGTCTGCACCCGCCAGAGGGCGCCCGGGGGCGGACCAGGGGGCGGGAGCCGGGGAGCCCCGGAAAGGCCGCGGCCGAGTCAGTCCCTCCCCGTGGGGTCTGCGGCTAAGGTCCGAGGGATGGATGGCCTAGGAATCCGGATTCAGGGGAGTCCGGATTCCGGGTGTTCAGCTCAGGGATTCGAGGAGTCGAGCGTTTTCAGACGCCGGCCGGCTCCGATGCCGTCACCCCAGACCCTCCCCACCTCCCCGCTTCGCCCCTGGGGAGCAGCTGGGAGGGGCTGCTCCTGGGTCGCGTCTGGGGCAGGTCTCCAGGCCTGACCCG